TGGTTCTTTTTTAATGAGAGTAGACATAAAACCTCTCGCATGGCCACTTATAAAAAAGAAACATAAGAAGCAAACGTCAAAAATAAAAAAGAAGACTATCGCCGACCGCACCGCACGCGCTGTACACGCACACGCCGCTTATTTTTTCACAAATATTTTCATGGACTCAAATTAATTCTCTATTATACAAACTCTTACTGACGACCATATTCGTCGTTGCGCGAGTGATATACAAGTTTTATAGACAATAATTTAGAAGAGTGCCGTGTCAAGTCGCCGCCATTACGCGTCGTCCAGCAGTGGCGTCGAATTCTTCAGCCTGGAAGAAGCTAGCGACGGGTTGGCAGGTACGTCTCCTCCTCATAGCCTAGCCTCGGCCTTCCCCTCTTTTGTGCATCTTTAGCGATACTCGCCCCCGCAAAACTTTCTTCAAAAATATTGAACCAGCGCACCGCCGTGGTGGAAAATTTGTAAAGAGTTTTTCCCACTATGTGTGTTGAGAGCTCTACATTTCATATACTCAGTACTCACGGCAATATACAGTGAGCGGCTGTGATCAGGAATCTTTTGTGTATTATAGAGGCACCGCAATAGTGCTGAGTTCGGTTGTAACGCAAAGATGCCATGTACGGTGCCTTATGAATGGGAATGTCTTCGCCTCCTATGATCTCAACATTAGAATGATTGTCTGAAACAAAAAGAGAACTGAACTCAGTAAGGTTCAAGCTAAAATTGCTAGGTACCTCATTTCTGGTTATCATTTTTCGAGGTACTCGTGTATAGCTCGAAGCGCAAGATGGCCGTTTTTCAATAGAGATGCTGAAATATCATAATCATAATAATGATAAAACGGTATTTACACTGTCATATTTTCTAGTTTTAAAAACACAAACCCGCAAAATTATAAATTGCGTAATTACAGGTGGTAGGACATCTTGTGAGTCCGCGCCGGTAGGTACCACCACCCTGCCTATTTCTGCCGTGAAGTAGTAATGCGTTTCGGTTTGATCTGAGACCTTTATAACTCATATCTCAAGGTGGGTGGCGCATTTACGTTGTAGATGTCTATGGGGTCTTAACACTTAACACCAGGTGGGCTGTGAGCTCGTCCACACATCTAAGTAATAAAAAAATTTAACAATTTTTCTTACAATTTACACAATAATGTCTACAAAACATAATTCATTCATCGAACAATTTTTTAAACAAACTTTGTTAATAAAAATACACTGTTTCTTAAATAATATTATTAATTCAAACCGCCCCTTTTCGTAAACGCAAAATCATGATGAATTAATAACGTCCGTTGTTAAATTGTGAGATTCATCGGTAGTAATATCATATTTCATCCAAACAGTCACATAAATCACGATAAACAATGCCAGGTATAACTTTAAATTGAAAATAGTTTTAAACTTACTATGAGAGGACACATGGTTAATGATAAAAAATATAGAATAAAATAACAACAGCACACACATGATTTTGGTTTGCAATGTAATTTTGAAATAATTTATTATTTTTATGTGGTGGTAACATTTGTTGACCGTTTATTAACGTAGAGGAAAAATATGCCAATGCCAAATTGATCAATGTAGATTATTAAAAAAATAATTGCCTTTTTAATTAATGAGTCTTAGATAAGGAAGTCAAATAACAGCTCTGCGTTAAAAATGACAAATACGCTCTGATTTAAATCAGTGAGGCTCGTCTACTTTTCAATTAAGCACTTCAGACTTTTCGACCGAAATTGTAATTTGAAGCTTTTGGGATCAAAATTTAAGCCCGCCAAGAATATATGTGCATACATGTGTATGTATATGCATACATATGTATGTATATGCATACATAGCTATGATTCATACTTATGTAGGTATATATGTATATTATTATACAAGTATATGTATATATGTAATTCAAAGTGATGAGTAGTTATTCCTCTATTTTAGATTCAAGATGGACGCCGAATTGAAATTGTGTGATATCTATGCGCCAAAACCACCGAAAGCCAATGTGTTGTTTTAATTTGTTACTTGAATAGGTGGACGAACTTAAGGCCAACTTAGTGTTAAGTGGTCATCGGAGCCCATAGACATCAACAACGTAAATTCTATCAACCACCTTGACAAATGAGTTCTAAGTCACAGTTTTTACAGTACAACGACGGCCGCATTCTTCAAACCGAAACGCATTACTGCTTTACGGCAGTAATAGGCAGGGCGGTAATACCTACCCGTACCTACGGGTGCACAAGATGCTCCAGTAAATTTTAGTAATTTCAAGTTTTCAAACTAAATTCGGGTTGTATTACATGTAAAGACATTCAAAATAAATATGTTTTGTTGAATTACGTAAACAATAAGGAAGCTACGTCTTTGTAACAGGAGAAAACTTCAAAGATTAGGGGCTCATATTTCATGAATGAATAAGCATCTGTCAAACTGTCAAATAGGTGTTTCTGTAAAGTTCAGGGTAAAACGACGGTTGATAAGGTAATGTTTTATGTAATACTGACGTTTTTAAGTATTGCTTGTGTACTTTGAGGGCAACTCTTAAGAAAAGTTTCTGGCTTAAAAACGTCATATGCGTTACCCGACATGTCTTCAGTATTTCTAAAGGGTTTTGATAAAAGGCAACGAGTACAAAAAAACAAATGGTCCCACTATCTTATTCTGCTATGAAAATTCTGCCCAGCTCTCATTAATACAGCTTTTCATTAGGATGTCAATGTCTTATAAGACAAATGGCAAAGACTACTCTTTTTTCTTTCTTTAGTTTTCGCGAATCGTAGTATGGACATATTTAGAACTACTGACTGACTTACGACTGGCTATTGTCTGGGACCACGAAAACCATAAAGTATTCTAAACGCGGGAAATAAAGTGACATTTAAAATGGGAGATTAAACTGTAAAAGTAGTTACAATTACAGCAACTACTTCTTTTAATAATCTATACTAATATTAGCTGACCCGGCAAAGTTCGTATTGCCTCAATCGATAAATAAAAGACCTAAATTTTTGTATCAAATAAACTTAAAACAAACAAAAGGAATCCGTCCGACGGGGGACACATCAAAGGAAAAACAAAATTGTTATTTTTATTTGATTCCGAGTATTTGGACTTCCACAAATAATTCAAGACCAAAATTAGCCAAATCGGTCCAGCCGTTCTCGAGTTTTAGCGAGACTAACGAACAGCAATTCATTTTTATATACTTATATAGATAGATATAGATTATAAAGATGAAAGATTTGTTTGTTTGTTTAATGGGCTCCGAAACTACCGAACCGATTTGAAAAATTCCTTCACTGTTTGGAAGCTACACTATTCCCGAGTGACATAGGCAATGTTTTTTTTGAAAAAAATTAGATGTCCTTACTAAAACTCCAATAATTTAACCCAAGGTGTAAAAAAAATACCTAAAATATTCTTTACATCGCGTCCCCTGCGAAAACTATTGATGATAGAATAAAATAATGTACTACGACTTTGTAGAATACATTATTATTTACAAAAAGGACCCCGACAGCATATATCTAACTATTATAGTTATGCCGCAATAAGTGTTCTTTTATTTAAAAATATAAAACAACGTCAAATATCGTTGAAATTTTTGTTAAAGACCCGAGCGGGAAGCTAGTAACCTATAAAGAGAAGACGAATGTTTCCTATCTCTTGTTGTTTAACGGATGTTTAATACCTCTATTCAAACTGGCATAAGCCTGACGTTGTGCCAAATTCAGGTACTAAGACTCCTATAGACAAAAGAAACAGATCATTTTCCAGATCAGAGTAGTTCAGTTTGCCTCAAAGAGTGAAACTGAAATCTTGTACAAAAGTCATTGCATAATAACTGACAAACTGGGTTACGTTGGGTGAGCGCCAAAACTTTAATCTTTAATAACACCGTAAGTCACATACATGGCGACATTTTTTCTTAATTATAAATTGCTATTAAAATGAAAATATGGTTTTATATACAATGTTTTAATATCAATGATTTTTTGGCTGTACGGCCTGACTGATGGAAATTGGTCATCCCCAAATTTTCAACTCATTGTACCAAGTATTTAAATTGACTGTCAATGCAGTTATGTCGTATCGTAATCATAATAATTGTAATCTATATAGGTATATATAAAAATGAATTGCTGTTCGTTACTCTTGCTAAAACTCGAGAATGGCTGGACTGATTTGGCCAATTTTGGTCTTGAATTATTTGTGGAAGTCCAGAGAATGCTTAAAAGGTAGATAAATATGAAAATGCTCGGAATAAAATAAAAATAACAATTTTGTTGTTCCTTTGATGTGTCTCCCGTCGGACGGATTCCGTTTGTTTCTTTTAAGTTTATTTTATACAAAAGTTTAGGTCTTTTATTTATCGATTAAGGCATTACGAAGTCTGCCGGGTTAGCTAGTTCTAATAATAAATAAATGAACGACAAATTTCAAATTATTTTATTTCAAAAAACACGTAGGTTCGACAAAGAATATAACATGTGTCGTACAATAGTTATTGCCTACGTACGTACGTACTCTATGGCTTTGTTGCTGTGTTTGATCTGGAAACGCGCCAAATGCTGCTGCACATTATGTTCATTCATTTGGTTTGTTTTATACACGATAAATGATTTTTTTTAAATTAAAAATACATATCAACGCTTGAAAGGCAAACGTGACTAAGCGACAATGCGTGAGCTTTACAGTAGACTAATTTAAAGTTGAAATACCTGAAAAAAAATCTATTTTAACGTATCTAGCAGTAGGATTGAAATTATTTTAATAGACCTAGAATACTGGTGGTAGGACCTCTTGTTAGTCCGCGCGGGTGGGTACCAACACCCTGCCTGTTCCTGCCGTGAAGCAGTAATGCTTTTCGGTTTGATAGGCGAGGCAGCCGTTGTAACTATACTGAGACTTTAGAACTTATATCTCAAGGTGGCTGGCGCATTTACGTGGTGGATGTCTATGGGATCCAGTAACCACTTAACACCAGGTGGGCTGTGAGCTCGTCCACCCAACCAATAAAGAAAAAACAATGAAAACGCGAGATACAAGTCTGCTAAAGTATCCTTCAGATAAAACCTCATTAAAATCGGAATGTACCATCATAATTCTAAAGATCTTTTACTTACCTCGTGGGCGTTTACGCTCTACTTAAGAGATTCGATACTCTTAAAATATCCATTAAATGTATTCGTGACATAGCTGAACGAGGTTAGGCGCTCAAAGGACCTTATTGGAAATTCAAAAGCCAATTTTAATACGTAAAAGCTTGTGTGGAAATGTTGAAAAGAAAAATGGGGCTTAGTTAAGAGAATGTTATTACGGTCATCAAGGGTTCGCTAACATTGATAATAGCATTGGCAACGATTTTTTTTAGTTGTGTGGATTATGATTACGCTTAAACAGCCGACAATTAATCGAATGCGTTTATTATGTAAAAACAAAGTAAGTTATATATTTCATCATCATCATCAGCCTGTATCTCTCCACTGCTGGATGTAGGCCTCTCCCATAGTCCGCCACAATGAAAGATCCTCCGCCTTCCGCATCCAATTCCAGCATCCGTAACCGGGAATAGCGGGGCTGCCCGGGATTAGGGGCCGTTCACTTTTGGCTTTGTCCATTGGGAGGGTTATGCCAATAGCCACCACGCTTGGCAGGCGGGTTGGTGACCGCAGTACTATGTCCTTTCTTCAGGGCATGCTGCTGCCCATGTCCTGATGTGTTTTTATTTAGAGACATAGCTGGTTATG